CAAGTCAGGGGAGGAAGGCAGTGATTATTTAACACGTGGCGGGAGAGTTCTAAATGAGGTATGCTCAAACTCCAGCCGCCGGCGGCTGCCACACGACAAGCCACGACGCCATAACTCATCAGCAAACGCGCTCCATCGTCTGTGCCCCTCTTCACTTCTAATTGTTCTCTACCACTGAGTGAGTATTTGCTGCGGCAATCTGGGGTGGATGCGACGCAACGGGCGCTACACATTTGAGGATTACGTGGGCTGGCTGTGTTATGCGGACGGCACCAAGCGGTATCACTACTCTTACAGCAAACAAGAAATAAATAAAAAAAAAAATAAAATAAAATAAAATAGCCCCCGTTACCAAGCTCACTTCGTGCTTGGAGCATGTAGCAAGCCAGAATTGAGTTACCCAGAAACTATCCTTTCTTATCCCGTCTTCGTTCCATGTAGGAACGTGCCAGTGAAGAGGACAGAGCGTTACGCCTGGATCCGCCCATACGAACTGCGTAGAAAAGCTCCTAATTCATTGCCTTCCCAATTTGCTCTTCTTCGCTCGCCCCTATGCTCTACTTTTTTCCTTTCTCCCTTGTGAGTTCGAGATTTGTCAGCGGTAAAACTTGTCTAATCGAATTAACTAATCAATGCACTGCATTTGATTTCAGGCTTCCCTTTGAAGATAACTCGTATAAGTCCTGGTTGCTGGCCATAGGAAAGTGGCATTCGGGGGGCCCCGCACCGCGAAGCCCACCTGCAGCATACAATCAAAATATAGAAGAAACTTGCAACAAACTCAAGGAGGAATGCAAGGCAGATATGGATCGCATCTCAACCAGATCGAACCGGTGAGTTTATTTATCATCGCTTGTGAGACCGCCCATCTCCTTATCGCGAAATGCCTCAGTTCATCAATATCCAAGACATTTATACGATTACGATTCCTTGCAGAGATGCAATTTGTCTGGCCAGTCAACACGCCTCTTGAGGTTCATGAGCTCGTAGGACCAGAAAGGTAGTACCATGTTTTGGGTTATATTGCACGGCTTAGTTTGCGACTTAATGGACACTTCGCGCCTTTCACGGCTTTCTTTCGCTTCGCCGAGGCTCCTGACATTTTAGATTTGATGCTTCCTCGCCAAAGTATCAGATGCCATTTTTCTGGACGAATACTGGCGTACCTGCGACACCATCTTGGTGGGTTTCATTCACTTATGAATAAAGACTGGAAAACAAGGTCCTTGGTCCTGATCAATTATTTTTGTAGGATTGCGCCACGCTATATTGCGTCCTATTTAGGCTCGCGTAGTGGCTTTGAAGGCATACACATGAATCTACCAGCCGTCCATATAGAGTCACGCGTCTTTCTTTCCACACGAGACTGCGTGATTCATTTGCTTTCCTCATCGGGATGGAAGGCCTTGAGCCTCACAATCGGCTGAGCTTACGGCGAATTTGGATCCTGGCAGCGGCCGCGCAGCTGTAATCTTCTTTCGTTTGCCCAAACCACTGTCAGGAAACACATCGGCGCGTTCTTGGGTCAATTTTTACTACTATGTCTCTCTCTCTCCCCCCCCCTAATCTTCTGCGCTTGGCCTGTCACCACCACTTTCCCTTCCCCAAAAAACCTTTCGCGGAGCTAAGCTTATTTAGTGGCGGAGGGGTGAGAAACAGCACTTCCGATGAAGCGGTCATAGTTTTGCCTCACCGTCAACTAGGGAGAGATTCAGCTCGCGTGCAACGGAGAATTTCTTAACCGGGAAAATTTCTCGAAGGTCGCATACTACCCCCCCCCCCCCGATATCCGACATTTGTCGGGTTTTTACACAATCACCTTGAGCATTGTTGCCACTACATCGTTTCCCTGCAAACCAGAGGGTGTGAGAAGGGGCGTGAATCGGAGCGCAGAGAGGGCAGTGTTCTCCGCCAGTTGTTGCGTACCAGAGGCGCATCATTGGCGGTGAACCCGTCGTAGCCTGCCGCCTCAATCACGCCCCTCAGACGCCTGTCCTTTGCGGTATCATGACTGTAACAGACGTCTAATCAAACTCTATCAGGCTATGATTGTATGTTTGATCGCGAGTGCGCATTTGTTTATTCGGCTAACACACTGAATATGCTTCATTTTCTCATTTATTATACAATTTGTTGCATTGATTACTCGATCTAGCTGGTTCGTATTCTCGTTACCATCGTGCAATATTCTGTTTTTTACTCATTTAAGGTAAGTGACCGTTATCGATATATTTTTATCTTCAGAGGCAACGCCCATTGAAGTGACGCCGCCACATGTGGCACTCTCGTGATTTAGTCGCGCTGGGGGACTGCGCGGTGCAAAACGCGCGCAATTTGGTCGCGTTGCAAGCCATGCGACCAACTTTACCGTGCGCAGTGGCGGGCCTGTCTGGTTATGGCGTATCCGCTTCAGATGAGTTGATGTCTTTTGACCGAACATGAGTGTTGAGGCTGCTTCCATATTCGGCGGAAGGTTGCCGGGTCTCAGCAACAGTGAGGATGGCCAGCTGGCCCAAGACGGACAACACAATCGCAACTTTGCGCGCGGCGCATTGTGCGGCGATCTCCATATGTATAAGTCTGCCGGCTAGAGTAGCAGTCCGCGCCACGTGATATCGATCTCTCCCTCACTTTTGACTGGTTTGAATTAAATTCAAACCGACGGGCGAGACAACTCGTCTCTCGCGTGCGCGGCATTATTCGTCTCGCGCGGCTTATTTTCGCTTGTCTTGTCATATATACCATTTTCACTTCAAATCGGACACTTTTCAAACCAAATCGGACACTTTTCAAACCAAATCGGACACACCCCTTACAATTAGGTGGTTGATAACTAGACCACACTAGGTACTGTTGCAAGCCCCGCCATTATCCCCGCCCACTTCTCAGCGCGGACAGGGTTTTCCGAGATGCTTCATGAAATCTGCTCCCTCGACTTTTTTTCGTTTTTGCCCTTTGCACACACACACACACACACACACACACTTCAACTGAAAAAGATTGATACCTATACAGATCTGACTCCATCACTTAACAATGAAGTTACGTAAGTTCTGAATTTTTATAACTTTTTTCGACGTAGTTCTTTTCACATCCAATCTTCACAAAACGAATAACCATGCACAGCACACCAGGCCCCGCCCCTCTGACCCGCCCACTTGTGTTTATCGCGGAATTTTGGTTTTTCTTCCGGATTTTCGCTTTTTTAGGCTTTAGCGATTGGCTCCGCCCACCAATGGAAGCTCCGCCCACTTTGGGGAAGCCCCGCCCACTTTTCGAAAATGATGCAAATCGGCGGGCTAGTGTCCGTACTGGCGGATTACGGCCTCTCCCGGCACATAGAATAAAAAAAAGGGAAAAACCGGAAAAAAAGGGAAACTTTGTTCTGAGCGACGGGAGAGGCCGTAATCCGCCAGTACGGACACTAGCCCGCCGATTTGCATCATTTTCGAAAAGTGGGCGGGGCTTCCCCAAAGTGGGCGGAGCTTCCAATCGGTAAAGCCTAAAAAAGCGAAAATCCGGAAGAAAACCAAAAATTTCCGCGATAAACACACGTCGGGCGGGCTGTCAGGTTTGCGGGGGCCTGTGTGTTTGCTGTGCATGGTTGTGAAGATTGGATGTGAAAAGAACTACGTCGGAAAAAAGTGTTATAAAAATTCAGAACTTACGTAACTTCATTGTTAAGTGGGCGGAGTCAGATCTGTATAGGTATCAATCTTTTTCAGTTGAAGTGTGTGTGCAAAGGGCAAAAACGAAAAAAGTCGAGGGAGCAGATTTCATGAAGCATCTCGGAAAACCCTGTCCGCGCTGAGAAGTGGGCGGGGATAATGGGGCGGGGCTTGCAACAGTACCTAGTGTGGTCTAGTTATCAACCACCTAATTGTAAGGGGTGTGTCCGATTTGATTTGAAAAGTGTCCGATTTGGTTTGAAAAGTGTCCGATTTCAAAGTGAAAATGGTATAATCGTTGGCGTAACAGAGATCTTCAGCCATGCGTGACGGGAGTGTGAACAGGGCACGTTCTGCCGCTGGGGTGAATTTTCGGGAAATACGACTCCCCCCCCTTCCTCCAGTTTCGACCTCTGCTACGACCTCCACCACCCCCTTCCCCATTCTTCAACTTTTCCTCTAAAACCATTTTTTCCGAAATTTTCCGGGAACTTTCCAGTTTTTCCCCGAAAATTTTCCGTCGAACGTGAGAGAGGGGTAGGGGGGATGGAGGGAGGTCTGTAGCATCAGTAGAACGGGAAAAACCTCGAAAGTCAACAACCAGACAAAATTTTTTCGCAAATCAAATTTCTGTCGAATGCAAATACGACTACGACAATAGACACCAATTTCAAAATTTTCCAACGATGTGAATAGTGCCCGTGACGGACTATCAAAAAAAATTCTACGACCGAATGCGACCCCACCCTCCTTCCAGCGCTGTTATTGTCCAACCTAGGACGTGCCCTGATCGCAATCAATCCGCACTCTGCCAACAGAAACATACACTCCTCATTTCTAAGGCGGAATAGGCGTGGCATTTGAACATAGCTTGGGATTGGTTACTCGTGGGATTTTTCATTGTGAGACAACCGTCACCTTGTTCTATGTTGAGCAAAGGTATGATTACAACTGTACCAAAACGAAAATATATCGCGAAAGCCTTAGCCGCCGCTACGCTCGCTTTGAGCACGCGGCCACGCCTACCGCACCTCGGGGATTTCGAGTGTAGTGACGTCTGCGTGGAGTAATACAGAGGATAAGATACATTTGTTACTTGTCATTTCTCTCACTACTCTTCCTTGAATAGGTTTTTCCCAGAGGTTTTACTGACAGGCATGAGCAATATTAAGCCGGGAACCGATTGCTGTGTATAGAAGCAGCCCTAGAAAGCCAGTGTCTGTTTCCCAGTTGTTCGTATTGCAGGTACTTTTTGCCGTTGCAATTTTAGAACGACGATCTCGTTTGTTGCGCGTACAACTTATTTTTCAATATACAACATGTGTATTTTTATTGCTTGATGCGGCATTTGCATTGGCCGCCGATTTCGGCGGATATAATGAAGAGGTGAGACTTCATCAAGCCGTGATAAATTTCGGTAGATTTTAGTGCAGGGCTAAGTACGGGATACAGTACCCCAAATGGCGCGTGAAACTGAGTTCAGCGAGCAACGAGCTCACATAAAACCACTCATTTTCCGCCCAGGTACTCCTTGGCTAGGTGGAAAGCTTAAATATCGCTGCTCTCGCTCCCTGTATTCATTTCAGAATTTCCCACTAGTTGTGTGCATTGGCGAAGACGATACATTCAATCTCACGCGCCACTTTTAGGGGTACTGTATCCTGCCTGTTTGCTTAAACTTATAATTTTGTGTTACTGATTGTTCAGAATATTTACTGTCAAAAGGATCCGCCGTTGATCCGAATCGTCGCAGTAACGTCGCTCGTATTCCTATTTGTTCAGCTATATTTGCGAGCAATGACTGTTCCTGTTTACTACTTTTTGAGAGATGAACGAAGATTCAGGTAAACTTGGCTTTTGAAGCTTTTGCATTACTGTAATCACAGTAATCCAAACCGTAGAGCAGGGGAGGGGCACCTTATCATGATCACTGTGAAAGGTCCTATACGATATTTTGAATTTTACTTTATTTTTCTCTCTCATTGCCATCTGCAGTCCTGTTCCTAAATGTAGGCAGCGCAATCTGACGATGAGCGCCGTGTTCTAGTTCACTAACACAATCAGGGTGGGTCGTACGTGGGGATCTCCAGCGATGGGGGTCGTATTTGGTTGCTGGAGGGAGGGAGAGGGAAAAGCTTTCATGTTCTCGGTTGTCGACTTTTCTCGTTTTTTTCCCGTTTTGTGTGGGTTCTACGGCAGCTTCGAAGGAAAACTGACGATTTTGCGGAAAAAAAAAACTAAAACAGAAGAGTGCAACGGGAAAAGGGAGGTTTTAGATAGAAAGTAAGTGGTAGGACGAGGAACTGGGGGAAGGTACTAGAGCAGGAAGGGGTAGGTCATATTTTGCAAAATGTTTCCCCAACGGCAGGATGTGCCCTAAACACAGTGCCTCGTCGCGTACGCGCTATCGATTGTATGGACCGAGTGCTCCGCTTAGGTGCCAGTGGGAGCTCGTACTTTCTGAGGATTATGCCACGCATGTGATGATCATTTCTATGTGTTACTAAAAAGGCGATGTACAGGGAGGGGCCGAAAAAAGACAATTTGCGCGAGGCACAGTAAAGATACGCAGCTCAGAGAGAAGACGTGGATACGAGTACCAGGGCGGAAGATACCAAAGATGTTCCTCGATTAGCAGGAGCAGGTTCTCGTCCATCACCTTCGTGTACACCAAGCCATCTCCAATCGCAGCTGGACTCGAACAGCTCGAGGAGAATATCCTGCCTTCATGTCGTCGCCTGTACAACCTTGGAAACTCGTACTGCTACAGGATTGGGTAAAAACACATGGAATCAAAGGGGCGTTGGGGAAAAAACGCTACTTGGAGTGGAAGGGCGTTGTACCTGAAGAAGAGAGTGTGTCACCTGACCTGAATCGCTCGATTACCCCGGTTTGGGTGGGGCTCAACAGGCTGGTCTACAATGGCGGAGAAATCACTCACCTCGCTGAACCCAGGCACCGAATTACGGTCGCGTGGCAGAATTTTTTGATAGCGTTCGTCTAGAAGGCTGTACGGAGTTTTGTGATCGTGTACAATGTGTTGTTGGATTTGATGGTGAAAATGTCCAAGCAGAAGGTTATAGGGTGTAACTCAGTTCGCCAAAAGTGTTTTTTTTTCCCCCCCCCCCCCCATAGTCGACGATGAACCACTCATTATGAAGATGCTCCAAAAATGCACATTACTACCTGTTCTTTACCCATTGTGCGTGACACTCCTGATTCTGCCCACTCCGCGCGATAATCACGGTAGCCAATCGATACAAACCCTTGCCTATCTCATATCATCTGTTTCCTTAATGCCAAAGCTTTCAGGAAGGTACTCGTCAGCGCAAGAACCCGCTACAGGAAGCGAGTGTATTTTTCCTATTGTTCCATGATGCATGAATATCTCAAACAGGAGGCCGCAAAGGTGAGTCCTGAAAGTTCTTTCTTCTTTGCCCACGAATTAGCGTTTACTTTTGGAATATGGTGGTGAGTAAATAATGTGTTATTCGCTGCGGATGCCTGGCCTTGTCCTGGGGACTGACCAGCGCAGCGCCAACCCACTCTCGACCAAATGTGGTCGCTTCAACAACTGGATGGCAACTGGGTAGCGCTAAGGCACCGTTCAGACTTCGCGACGGCAGCGCATCGGTCGCGCCTTTGACGCGATCGATACGCATGCTTTCGACTGCATCGATCGCGTCGAACGCGCAACCGAAGCGCTGCCGTCGCTGCCGCTGCCTAAGCCAAACCCAGCCTCCTCGAAACGCCCCAGCACTCATAGTGAACGTTATTGTATAAATGTTCGGGCCTTGAAAAGCCCTTTAGTATGCGTTATTCAGAAACCCTTCCAATCAGTGGCTCTCCGCTAGGCTTCTTTCATAGGCAACTAAACCGCTGCTACAGAGTCGTGCGTCCGGGGGGGGTACGCCATCGGGTTGTGAAAATTCCTGCAAAATACGTCCCCCACCTAGTTTCATCCTCTGAGACACCCCCCTCCCCCTACCTACCACTTTCCTAGATTTTCCCAACTCCTATCCCTTTTTCCAGGTTTTCCGGCATTTCTCCGAGAAATTTCTACTTTTTCCCCAGAAATTTGCCCTCGAGCGGGGGCATCCTTCCTCCTAACAATCCTCCCTCCTTCCAATCCTCTCTCCCAACAACGAGCAATTACACCCCCTCCCCCTTTATAGCGTCCGTGAAACAAGAGAAATGAACTATCAAAAAATTTTTTCTCACGAATCAGACTACGACCCTCCTCCTCCCTCGCGGTCAAATACGGCACCCCCGTTGTGATTATCACAACGATGGCGTGCCCTGCCGTGGGGACGCCCACTTTGTGGAGGTAAGCTACATAGTAAGTGACGTCACGTGCGCGACATTCACACCAGGACCTAGTTGATTTTATATAGAGGTG